TTGTGGAACAACAAAATATTGATTTTGTGGAGCAATAAAGGATGAAAAGGCATTGTTCGAAGAAATCCCCAGATTAGCAGTCGAGTAGGAGTTCACATGGTTAATTTCCCTTTGCTTGTCATCAAGATCACAGGCTTTAATGATTGCCATTGTTTCTGCAAGACTGAGTCGGTTGAGATCCTTTGTCTTCTTGATAACAGAGACATTCATGTCCCATGACTTGGGGAGAGAGTTAAGCAGTTTCTTGTCAATCTCTGATCGTGGCACTGAAATTCCAGCAGAACTCATCTCAGTGGTAAGAGTAATAAATCGCTGTAGTTGAGCCTCCAATGATTCTCCAAGAATATGATTAAACATGTTGAACTTCTGTCTGAGCATGTCTTGTCGGCTCTGCTTCATGTCTTCTTTTCCCTCACAAACTTCAATCAATGCTTCCCACAGAGCTTTGGCTGAGTCATACTCCCTGAATCCTTGTGCAATTTCCGGAGAAAGCCATTGTCAGTGTTGCGAGAGCCTTTTCTTGCTCTTCAATTTTCTCGAAATCCGCATCTGTGTAATTTGCAAAATCTTTATCGATAATTGTTCCATTTTCAAGAGTGGCAGTGATTCTAACTGGACCCTTCAGAATATTGCGCCATATTTTGAAATCCTTCATTTTAATGTATTTCTCCATTCTGTATTTCCATTCAGGAAATCCTTCAGCTGACAGAAGACGCGGGATTCCTGTAGTAGTTCTCATGATTAAGTCCAACTCCTGATGAACTGTCATGTTTTGTGGTTCCATTTTTTTAATTTTCTTAATTGATTGAAAACAAAACTTATAAAGAAAGCACAACCGAAAAGAAGATTACAACCGAGAACAAGGTTTACAGCCCAAGGAGAGTTTACAGCCAAAAAGGGTTTACGGCCGTACACGAGTTTGCAGCCGAAAAAAGTTCACGGTCAAAGCAGTTTACAGTCAAAGAGCGGTTTACAGTTGAAAACGAGGGTTTACAGTCGAAAACAGCACGTTTGCAGTCGAAAACAATTTACAGCCGTAAACAGATGAACAATTTACAGCCGAAAACACCCAGAATTTGATGAAAACAGTTGATTTCGAGCAGATCTTCAATCCCTTTGGCCTTGAAATCACGATCAACAGCAGGAACTCAGTAACCAAGCTTGAACAATCACGAAAATAAAGAATACTCCAACCGAAAACACAACTTGAACGGTTTTGACACTAGTATGGCTCTGATACCAATTGTAAGTCCCCAAATCTGGAACCAACTAGTGATCAAACACAAGAAAAAGCAATAATCAATGAGAACAAGAAGGAGTAGAAGCAAGAATGATCCAAATTGCACACGTTTCTATTGAGCCGCAAACGTCTGGTATAATGGACACACACACATACAACCGTCGTACATTCTGACAAGACTGACATATATATATATATATATATATATATATATATATATATATATATATATATATATATATATATATATAGGGAACATGAACCGTAAACAGTTCACGGCCGCAAACAGCCTTGCGGCCGCAAACACCAATTGAACCGAAAACCCCTGTTTTCGGTTCACCCAATCGCAAACCCTATAAACACCAAGACAAAGACTAACAAGACTCATACAAATGAATGCCTAGCCCAAACCAACAAAATATGACCTAACAGTTTTAGTATTTGGTGAAGCCCTATGATGCCTAAAGTGGTAGTAGCTATCAAGTAGAAGCTCTGCCCGTGCAACTTCCAGACTTTTGTCAGGAAGAATCTCTGCAAGTTAAGCTACACTCTCATTCTTTCAGTGTAACTTATATTTATACTCATAAGTCAATATTATGAACCTATAAATAAAATTTATCAGTAATTGCAGTTATAATACTGATTGATCTACTTACGTGAGAGGTGTCTAGAATGGTAAAGTTGGCTTAGTTGTTGGATCTCAGAAATGCTATATGCCGAAATGGTCCTGCCTCCCAACTGTCCTTCCTAGCTGATCGTTACTTGATAGATCTTGATGTAGACATTAAGATCAGTAAGGAATCTAGACTATAATTATTATGGTCACCAGGATTATGAATGTCGACTAAGGTTTAGTACTTCATGCGTCTAGGTCTTTTCAAAGTACGAAGCGAAGCACTACCGAAATCGTCAATCACTTTTATCAAGTGAGTGCATAGTTACCTTCATCTTACACATAGATATGAATTATCTAGATAATTACATGCTTTATGTGCTTATTATTTGTGCCGAAAATGTTATGTGTTAGATAAAATAATATGAGATGGCATTTAAGTTGATTTAATCATATAAGTATTATAAACTTATAAATATGTATTGGGTAATGATAGTGGATGGTATATAGGAGATGATAGATATGTTATAATAGATAGGTAATGGTAAATAGACGATGATAAATAGGATATGACTAGGAGATGCACTGATCTTGACTTGCGATGTTGCTATGTAGTCATCTACCAGAGTATAGATGACGACCACAGACTAATCTAAACAGTCCAGTGGAAACACCGGAAGGCTCATAACCTGTAGGTGATGAATTACGAGTTCCGGCGACGTAGTAACTACGTATTCATGTGATGTATTGGGGGAGTAATCCCCAAAACTGTATTGTTCATGCGATGTAGGCGATGATAGGTAGATACGATGTAGATGATGACCCTTAGGATAATTCCTTCGGAATGAATAAATAAGAAAACGGGGATGGGTAATCGGGCTAATTGTTTGACAGGAAATATGTGAATAAACAAATTAACTATATTATTGTGGGTTGAAAACCCTATGTATCTCACTAGGTTTCCCAACCTGACCCACTCAGTTTATTTGTATCACAAGTATCTATACGAAGATACATTACACTGAGATATTAAAGGAGATGTAGATTATTAGTGTAAATTAATGTAAGGTCTGTTTATGCTTAGGTTTTGTATCAGTTATGACATCCTAAGTTTTGAAATGATATCACTATCGAACATTTATTCGGAAATGTTTAATGTTAATAATATCTCACATTGAAATTATATTTTTGGGACCAATTCCGCAACAAAAGAGATACTCTGTTTTAAAATAACAATAAATAAAATTTTTAAAATGACTGTAAATTTAGGAATGTCACAACAGTCAGGCGTTGCATGAACTTTCTTTGGCTGATGTTCCATTCATGAATCCTTATGATTGTATTTCTTTGTTTAACATTATTACGAGGGACGCCGTGAAGTATGAGCCTGTCTTTCAGTTTTTGAGAAGAATGATATGGGCTTATATTCTTGAAGTTGCAAAGATGGATGTTGAAATAGCAGCGGTTCTTAATCGGAAACCCATTATTAAGGCTTTCCCTCCTCCTAAAAATCTTGATAAATTCTTATCTGAATTTATTGAAAAAGAACTTTGGGAATTGCATACAAGATGAAAGAGAATGAAGTGGTGAAGCACTGCATGATGTTTCTGAGAGATAAACATTTATTTTAAACTGCCACTTTGAATCAACACCTTGCAAAAGTTGAAGCAAACAAGTCAAATACTGAAGGAGATATGAAATGTGTTTCGGATATGATCAAATGGTGGATAGTCATTCGGATGACTTTATTGAATACTATTTCAAAGATATTTGAAGCAATGAAGAAAACGGAAGAAAAGACCACAACAGCAACTTGACACAAAGAGGGAGATTGTTAGGTTTCATAATTTGACTGTGTCTAGTTGTATGCGTTGTTCACTACTTGGTTGTATTGTCTAATGTCTTTTCTTTATTCTGAATTAGGGTTGTAATCCCGATTTTGGAATGTATTTAATCTTAGGTTTGCAGTTATGATCTGTCGACTTATGATTCCTTTCTAATGCTCATCTGACGCCTATATATAGGAGCATTAGTTAGTAGAGAGGGTAGAGTTTTTGACACAGAATAGTTCAACACAAGTTTTGTAACGAATTGTTCTCCTGATCCTCTAATGCAAACAAATCTTATTTACATATTCATGTTCATCCAAATCTTTTGCATCGTCATATATGACATTTTCATTATAGAATCTATCATTCCTATTCAGTTTCATCAATTAGAAACGAGAATGGAATTGGGATTATCTAAAGATCCAACAAAATATGGGCTTGAATCGGTAATGGATTGAACAATAGTTTCATTTGAATATGATTCTAACATTTTAATTGCAAAATGAAGATGATTTCAAAGTAAAATTGATTTCAGAAGAAAAGAATTGAATCCAACTTTGTTAAACATATTAGAAACGAGAACGAAATGGAGATTAAAGGAAGATCAGACAAAATATGGGCTTGAAGCGGTAATGGATTGAACAATAGTTTCATTTGAATATGATTCTAACATCTTTTAATTGTAGAATGATGACTGCAAATTGAATTTAATTTCAAAAGAAAAGAATTGCAGAAGGAAGATGAATGTGGAATCGACTAAAATGATACCATGTTAGAATGTATGAACTTAAGATTAAAAGAAATACACATTGAAAGAGTTTTCGGAACCGATACTAATTAAGAGGAAGAAGTAATAACAATTAACAATAATCTAGCTAATCATTTAATTGTAATCTAACAAACTCTATGAAAATACCAAAAATACCCTTTATACCAACATAGTACAAATGAAAAGTAAAAGAGATAGAGAAAAGTGAGAGGGGAGGTATTGTGCATTCTCACCGTGGATGATCAACAAATACAATGAAAGATAGAGGGAGCGGTGTTTACACCGATTACCCAGGATGCCACATAAATTCAGAGAACTCAATAATGTTATAACCTATTTACATATTTGATAGCATTATAACTTATAACTTATAAGGTAGAAGTCTTGTATCATTAGTAGCCACCGCACTAGATTCACATGTATTTATAATAGTCGATTGGACGACCCACTAATATTAAATTTATTAGTATATAGAAAATAAACATGTGCTTTACAACATAAATGTCTATTAGTCAAAAGGGGAAGGGGAGCCATCGCCCATTGGAGTCAAAACGTGCGTGCTGGGGAGCTATCCACGATTCAGTATCACATATTTATACTGAAGCTCCTTTCATGTCTTTCTACCTGCGTATTCGTATCGAGAAGAGAGAGACAGACTGTCTTTATCGCTCGTAAGCAGATTGATTCCTCTTAATTCGTCTCTGTTTTCTTAGATCCATACTCCTTTTCCTACTACAAGTAAACTTTTTAGATCTGATTCGTTATTGTATTCTATGATCTAATTGTTTTTGTTTGTGCAGCAGCAGCAGCAGATATATATATATATATAAATATATAAATGGCGTCGGATCGGAAAACTTTCGTCTTTTCTGAGGTCTCTAAGCACGACACAGTTGATGACTGTTGGCTAATCATAGCCGGAAAGGTCCGTTATTTTCTGATCTGATTGCTTTTGTCTGATTCTCTACTTTATATTTTTATAATTTTGTAATGTCTGAATTCAAATCGATCATTGTTTGATTTTGAGGTTTGGTAGTTTGTTAAGTTGTTAGCAGCTAGCTTCTGTAATCCGATAGTAGAATTTAAGCGAATCTAGATAAAAATTACAACTCAAATTGAAATCCTGGATAACGAAGAGAAAGAATATATTGTTGAATTTTACCTTATCTGATGTTTGTAATGATTTGGTGTTGTTTGAACTTTGAAGAATCCATAACTTATAAAAGGTTACTACAAATCCTTGCTTCAAGTCATCCTTGTCAAGATTTTATCATCATTAGGAGAAATTCTTAAATCATTTATGCTAAAAACCTTTCTGCCATTTTTCTTCTTGGATTACAATCCCAAAATAATGCAAATTGTGTTATTGGATCTTGTGTATAATTCCTACTAAGATTTTGTAATTTAGGGCTCAAATTGTTATAAAATAGTTGTTTAAAGTTTAAACCCCAAATACAACAAATATAAATGAGCCCAATAATTTTTTTAACTTTTAGACTCACGGGCCCCACTTAGTAAGCCCAATAAGCTCTTGACGGGCCGGAATTTTGAATTCCCTCCAGTTTTTGTTATATTTACCGCCATTTAGTTTCAGTTATATGCAGTCAATTTTTTTTTTTTTTTTGAACTTTTGCAATATATGACAAATAGTTTGTTCCCCATTTATAACATTAAAAATATGATTTTTTTTTAAATACTTCTCACGGAATTCATAAACTGCATCAGGTTTATGATGTAACCACGTTTATGGATGATCACCCTGGTGGACAAGAACCTATGCTAGCAGTAGTTTGTAAGTTTAATCCATCGATCACTCCAACGTGAGACTGAACAAAAAACAGTTTTTTTAAGCTACATTTTATGTTTCAGGCAAAGATGCGACAAAAGATTTTGAGGTTCTTGGGCACAGTGATGAAGCTAAAGAGATGATGAAAAAATATTGTATAGGTGATGTTGACCAGTCAACTGTTCCTTTGGATCATACAACCAATCCAGCTATTGATTATAGCTACAAGGCAGAAGGGAGGGGTCTCGGATCATCTGGCAAATTATTACAATTTTTAGTGCCGTTTGTGATAGTTGGGTTGGCTTTCATAACTAAAATCTACACCAAACAAACTTCTGCTTGATGGGTCAAGAATCATATGTTTATTCAATTACAGTTGGGCGTTTGCCCAACAATTTATATAAGTGATATGTATTTTTAAACATTTTATAATTTACTTCTAGAATGATGTATTTTTTTAAATGGCATACCACCTCAAAAGATTGTAGTTTTAAGGGTAAAGTGAACCCGGAAAAAAACTAAAAAAATCGCAGCCCAAAATCAAACTGATTTGAAAAACCGATGATTTGGGTTTTAATTAAAAAACAATATCTTAGATTCGGTATGGTTTCTTTTTTTATAAAACCCAAAACAAAAATAACAAAAATGGCATTCACAAGATCCAAATGATTACCATTAGACAATCTTGATGTGTTGGAAATTTAAAAGGAGATAGCAAATTGGTAATTCCTTTGCCTTTTAAAACTATAAGCTTGTTTTTCCATCATTACATTGTAAAAAATGGTGGGGGGCCAAACCTACACGCGTGACTAGCCGTAGTCGTGGACGCGAAGTTCACAAAGTGATGCGATGTAGGCGTAATTTGCATCATTTCCACCAGCTAAGGAACTTTTATTTTTAGTGGGTGAAAGATCGGTTTGGACCAATCCAATAAAATGAACCATCAGTCAATAGTTTGACATTATGTAAGAGATACATAGTAGATATATCTTGTGGCCATGACGGCCTCTAAAGTCCCATGATTGCCATATAGCATGCTATGATTTGTGTTATACGCAATGCTTCATATTCGCAATCATTCAAGAAATTTGAGCATCATCGGAAGAAAGAAGAAAGATAGAGTTTTGCTAGTTCGTATGTTAGGCCGGTCTAGCATCTGAAGTAGCATTGAGCTTATCAGAACACTTCTTCTAGTTGTTATGCTAGTTTGATCTAGCAACCGAACTAGCATTAAGTTGGTCAGAACACTTATGCTATTTTGTCCGCTAAATGCATTCTATTTCAATCTAACAATTTGGTCCTTCAGGATTACTTAGTTTTGCGACATAAATTAGCATCAGAAAGATGGTGTTTGGCCGATTTAAGGATTTTTTAGGTCATTTTGACCAGTTTCTTGGCTCTTATTATCTCGAGCGATTTCTTTGAAGATTAAGGGTTTTGTATCTTCATTTTGGTCACTTGTAAGTAATTTGTAACCCCCATTTGATTGTTGATTAATATAACAATTTGTCTGTTTCTTCCCCTTGATGTACACAATCACGTTGATTGTGGACTCACATTAAATACATGTGTCTCGTAATTTATTTACTTTTCATTTATAGTTGCTTTATCCTGATACGTGTAGCTCTCATCATCAGTCATTTTATCATATTTCATCATCCCGGTTTACTGTCCGTTTTGTTGTTGGATTTTACACTTGTTTATAGGACCAAATGTTTGATATCTATTTGGGATATGTTTGGATTGCTAAGGTAATCATTTGGATCCTCCATAAGATCCTTAACAAGTGGTATCAAAACTTCTAGCTTTTTGTTGGAGTGCATTTGAGCTTTCCTTAGTTTTAGGGTTTGCTAATTTTGGACTAATATTTTGGCCACCAGATTATCATGATCATATGTTGAGGGCTAATGCGATCAGACGGAGGGGAAAACGTTGTTCGATTGAGCTGAAATTTTACGGACGTCTTCCCAACTCATCAATCTTCGACCTCACAAAAAATGAGCGGATTTGAACAAGTTTTGATATGATTTTGTGTAGTTAGTTTTTATTTCCAATATTGGGTGAATCTATGGAATAATTAATTGATTATGAATAGTTTTGTGTGGTTTTGATGGTATGCTATGAAACTATTTTCTAGTAAAACATCTATTTATGTTTATATGTCTTTAATCATGAGTTTAGATATGTGAATGTTTAATTAGTTGGTTAATTTCTTGATTACGTAATAGATCATCAAATTAACAAGTAACAAATGGTTCTTGTGATTGCTTATATCATGAAAATATTTCCTCCAACATAGTAGTGAAACCATTTTGACTCCTCTTGGATTTGGTGGATTTTAAATCTTAATGCTAGTTAATTTTCATTAATTACATGTTTCATTGAAATTGTGACTTTAACTAAGAAAATGTGTTATGAGCTTCTCTAACCATTGTATTAACTAAGAAAAATCTAGGTGATCTCAAGCTTCTTAGATTGCTATAGCCAAATTAGTATCCATTAAACTCATTTCACCACAAAATTATGATGATTAGTCAAATAGTTGAACTTGCGATTTATCCCGATATTGGAACGTTTTATTTTATAGATTTTTTATTTTTCCATTTTTGTTATTTTTGTAAAATAGTTTTTATCGCATTTAACATTTTGAACCCCCCCCCCCCACCCCCCAACCCCCAATCATTGTATATTTTTATTTCGTAGAACTGAATGCATAAATTTGATTCGAACCAATCAATGTGGATTCGATCCCTATTACCGTTACTACAATTCATTTTTGTATGTCGTCGTATTTAGGTTTTTTTTATTTGGTGGTCTCGACACCCACCAGTAGAAAATATAAGATTGAAATGCAATCAATAGCCCTGATTTCTTCAATTTAGAATTAAAGGTTTTCTTTTAATAATATTTAGAGATTTCCCTTGATTATGTCATCAAATTTTAGCCGTAGCAACATAAACTTTTCCATTTAACACCGACTTAAGGACGAGGTTTCTTTGGGTTGGTTCTCGGAGAATAATAGGAAAATCAATTGGATGTCTTAGGACTTGGTAACTCGCCCAAAAGAGAAATGGGGTCTTGGTGTGAGAGATCTAAGATCTCTAAATATTGCTTTCCTTGCGAAATGGTGATAGCAAAATGAAATGGAGCATACTAGCCTTTGGATTACGTGTATTAAAGCTTTTCATAATATTGTTTGCATTTATGGAAAGCCTTTAGCGAAACAGGGTCTCCCGGGAACTTAGCTTTCCATTTATCAGTTTCACTTGGAGCTTGAAGGGTGGGGAATCATTCTTGGTAATATTTTCGAGAGGTGTATGTAGGTTGGAAATCATACTTTCTTTTGGAAAGATAGATGGTGTGATGATGTAATTTTAAAAGATATCTTTCCTGAATTGCATAAACTTGAATCTTAGAAAATTTGTGTTGTTTCAGACAGGTTACCAAGAGGTGTGGGGGCGGATATCCAAGGATGCTTGAAGAGAAATTTGAGGTGCGGGAAGGAGTCTGATGAGCTATTGAATCTGTCGAAGTTGGTGGATGATGTGCAGCTCTCGACTGCCTCTGATTCTTGAAGGTGGAAAGGAGTTGGGTCAGATATTTTCTCAGTGCAAGCTCTTAGAAGAATGATGGTTGATGTATTACCGGATCCTCTGATGCAGGTTAATGTTAGGTGGATAAGTTGGGTTCCCTTAAGAATTTAAGTGTTTTGTTTGGCGGTTGTTCATTAACAAAATTCTGGTTGCTTGTAATTTGGTTAGACGAGGAAAGAGTTCAATTTCTACTTGTTGTCCTCTTTGTAACATCGGGGTTGAGGAAGTAGATCATGTCTTCTTTTAATGTTGTTTCTCTCGAGAGATTTGGGACTGGTTTTGCTCGTGGAATGGTTTGTTGTCTGTGACTCCTTCAAGTAGATTGAATCTGCTTGCTTTGATTGAAGCCACGAGGTTGGATAAGAAGAAGTACAAGCTAGATGTGCCTTGCTTTATGCTGTTTTTTGGAGTACTTGGAAGGCAAAGAACTCAGTGGTGTTCAAAAATTCAAAGTATTCTCTTATGAAAACCACGAATGAGATTTAACTTACCTTTTTTAATTGGGTTAAGGTAAGATCAAAGTTTTATTTTTTATGTTGGTATGACCAGTGTATTTCTCCTATTATTGCTTGTACTTTGTAATTTCTAACATCTGGCTAGCTTGTTTTTAATATATATTTACCGACGGCTCCCTCAACCTCAATAAAATGGCATTTGATTATTAAATTAAATATGGTTTGTAATGTCTTTTAGTGTTATTTAGTTATCAAATCCTGAAAACGAAATACGACCTCAAACTTTTCTAAAATAAGGAATAATCTTAAAAAAGAATCAAAAGTCAATATCAGTATACAAGTAAATCATTATGTGCCATGGCCAGTCTTATTTGATACACACATTATTAATATTTTTGACATTTCACTTTTAGAGTTATCCTTATATGAAACGGCATAATGCGAAGAACAATAAAAATATATAAATATGTTTTATTATGTACAGAAAATCTCCTATTTGATCATATTCTTGTTTTATGTAATTTATTATGAGGTTTAAAGGATGGTGTTAAATTGATTCTCATGGATAAAACATGTATGTGTATGACCGTATGAGTAAGATGAACGTTTATTTAAGATTTTCATGTTTAAATTGTAATGTACATTAATCAAATATTAACTAAAATAATCATATTTCATATTAATACTAAAGAAAATAAGCTAAAAATAATTTATTATTTTTAAATGACCAACTAGCCCGGAATGGACTATTTCGAAAGTATAATTCTAACAAAAAAAAACATTTCAGAATTCCAGATTTCGGATATAAAAAAAATATATTTCGGAATTTCAAGAATAAGTCTAAAATTCTCTAAACAATTCTGAAATTTCGAGAAAATATTTTATTTTTAATTAAAACTTAACAAAAAGTTAATGAAAATAAAAAATGAGAAGTATATATATGATACATAGGCTTAAAACATATATTTGATTAGAAAACAGTACATTAGAATAGACATTTCAGATATAAATAAAAGTATATTTTGGAAAAAATGTATAAATGATAAAAAATTACAATTTATAATTTTTTTATCAGTCTGTAATAATCTATTTTAGACAAAAATGATTATTTTTATAAAACAAAATCTCCAAAAAAGTCCTAAAGTTTTGGGACAATTTATGGTCTGGTTCTAAATTAAATTTTATTAACGAAAAAGAATAGGAAAATGGTTATTGTAATCACTTTAACCTTTTTTTTACCTTTTCAGCGGATTACTAATCCTGTTGACGGGGTGCGTCAAGTGGACTGATGCACTGACGTGGCCTGCCCTTCCTTTACAATTGAAAATTTCAGATTTTTTTTTAGAAAAGATGTCTGCCAACAGTCCATTTGGCGCTCCACCTCAACTAGGTAAGGCTGCTGGGAGTGGGCTGCGGTTCGGACCGCACTCTTGCCACCTGGACCGCAAACACCGCTTTCCTGCGGTTTTGGCCGCAGTGTGGCTAGAAAGGACCGCGTGCTGTGATTGGTTGCTGTCATGTTGACCGTTGAACGGTCCTTGCGACTGAATTGATTTAATTTTTTTTTACTTTACTCTATATATATACTTACCATTTTTTACATAACCTTCAACCAAAATCCTTACAATTTTACTCTCTTTTCCTCCAATTTTTTTGAAAATGTCTTCTTCCAAAAGGCCAAGCAAAGAAAAAACATCCGTCAGAAACACCACAACCCCAATACCTTCATTTGATCAACCGATTTTTTCACCTCCGCAGTGTGACTAATTTCTAGTTTTTTTTTCAAGTTTTTAATCGTTTGGTGTGTTTTTTTTTTAATAAGTTGTAGGTTTTATGTTTCTAATCTGTTTTTCTAAATTTTTAGTTTTTTTTTTTAAGTTAAGCAATGTATGGTATTTGTATTTTTAATTAATGAAATATTATCTATTTAAAATTATGTTTTTTTATTAAAAAAGAAGTTTTATTAAATTAAAATAGTTAAAAAACAAAAAACAAAAAAAAATTTAGAAAATAAAAGTGTGGCAAGAAACCACACTTGTGTGGTAAACAATGACGTGACGCTTATGTGGCGGTGAAGGGAGTGCGGTTTCGGTGGTACCACTCCCTCCAGCCTAACATGTTGGAAAGGTAAAAAATAATAATAAAAAAAACGGTTAAAATATTACAATAGCTGGTTAACATTTTTTTCGTTAATGAAATTTAATTTAGGATTATATCATAAACTGGTTCAAAACTTTAACATTTTTTTTACATGTTTCACTCTTATAAAATACAAAATTTTGATTTTGATTTTATTTTAATCACTAATCTTTTTCTACTTAACCTTTGATAACAAAAAAATAATAATAATAATAATAAACTAAATAGACATTAAAACCAAAAAGAAAAGAAAAGAAAAAAGCTCCGGCCTACTCTTCATTTTCAGAGATGGCGTTCCCTTTGCATTGTGCATACAACCAACAACTTCATTAAATAATTATATGATTTATTTTGTTCATAATAATCATCTCTCATATTGGGGGTGTCGTCATTGGGTCAAAATGAGGGTGCTCCTAGCTACTCATGTTTAAATACCCAAAACCCCATTCATGTCTTTCAATCTGATTTTGTGGAATCAACTACATTCGTATCGAAGAGAGAGACACAGTGTGCGTCTGTTGCAAAAGCTTCATCTCTCTATCATTCGTAAGCAGATTGTTTCCTCTAAAATGTTCTCTGTTTCCTTTGATGCTTAAACTGAACTTTTAGATTTGAATTGTTGTTATATGATTCTTATAGTATAGTTTTGTTTCTGCAGTAACTGATATAGTAATGGCGCCAGATCAGAAAACCTTCGTCTTTAGTGAGGTCTCGAAGCACAACAAAACTCTGGACTGCTGGGTTATCATCTCCGGAAAGGTCCGATGTTTTCTGATTTGATTCTAGTTTAACTGATTCTGATGTTCATATAATCCTATGGTCATTTTTTACGCGAATTGGCCATAATTCGTTATGATAAGTAGATATTCCCCTAATTCAGTGTTCGATTCCATTATAATATCAACATGAATTGAATTTGTGACAATAAATAAACAGCACTACGTGCTGCATTAACCTATATGATGTTTATATAGATTTTGTGCTTGAAATCGATCTGAATGTATTGAGTATTGACAAACATAAACTGTATCAGGTTTTTGATGTAACTTCATTTATGGAAGATCACCCTGGAGGTAGTGAAGTGCTACTAGCAGCAACTGGTATGTTTGTTTAATTTCTATCTCCATTCAAAACTGAATGAAATTCACATTTTTAATGTCATGGAGTTATTACAGGTAAAGATGCTACGAATGATTTTGAAGATGTTGGACACAGTGAAGAAGCTAGAGATCTGATGGACAAATATTACATTGGTAAGATCGACAAATCAACTGTTCCAGCAAAACGTCAATACGTTTTATCTGAAAATCAGAATTACAGCTCAAACAAGAGTGGATTCATCGTCAAGATATTACAGTTTTTGGTGCCTTTTATGATTTTGGGATTAGGTTTTGCAGTCAGAGCTTACACCAAAGAGAAATCTGATTGATTTTATGTCGTGTAGTTTAATAAAAAATGCATCATTAGATTATTCAAATTACAATTTAGTGGTGCAAAAGTATTTTGGGCAAATTTGTGTTGTTTGTTCTTTGAGTTAAATGCAAGAGTCCAGAGCCTTCTGAGGCCTTGTGCGAAAATCAAAGTGAGATCTCATAATTTTTTTTGTTAAATATTATTAAATAATTTTGATACCGTTAAATTTAAAACAAGAAAGTTGCTAACATAAATCTTGTAAATTACTACTACAACATCACGTCTTTACTCATATTGTTTGTAATGTTCAAACTATTGATTCCAATGAACCAATAGCTTGATCAACTATGTACACAAAATACTGAATCATGAATGACTATTGAAGTGAAAGTTCATGCACCCGTTTTGATGACCTAATGACACTCTAGTCAAACTATCTTTTGTTATTATTATAATTATTATTATTTTAATTTCTAAATAAACACCTGATCAATTCCTAAATCAGATGTTATAGCTTATTCTCTCGATAGTCTCTAAAAAACTCAATAATTGCTTTCACACTACTCATTGTCTCATCAATACTCATAGTGTCATATTGAAGTTGTTTTCGTTATTCCCTTTAGCTAATATAGGATACCTTATAACCATGTCAGTTATAAAGTCAAATTTGTCAACTTAATACCCTTTAGCTAATATAGGATACCTTATAACCATGTCAGTTATAAAGTCAAATTTGTCAACTTAATATCCTGGATTCCTGTTAGACAATTAACTTCACTTTTAATCTTTATATTTGTCTCTTTATCAACAAGTTTATACGAAGCTTTTACTATTTTAGGAGTTTGAGTCAATATTGTTTTTACACTTTCAATACTACTTTCTCATCTTGCAGTTGACAGATTTTGAAGTGAGACTTTGTTTGGCCTAATTGTCACTTAAAATTTATGATTAGAATTTGATTTTTTTTTCTATTAGAGTTTTTGGGTAAAGTGTATTTTATGAAATATAAAATTGTTTGCTAGAATTTATATTATAAACAAATTTGTATTTTTCTTTGCGTATACTAGAATTTATAATAGAAATATATATTTTTTCTTTGGATATAGATATTTTTCTTAAACTAGTGATAAATTTTATAATTTAAGATTAGATTTTCATTTTTTGATTTTCTTTGTTTTTTTTCATGATTGAAATGACTTCAAGATTGCAAACAAATGTTACATTATGTATATGAGTAACTAACACAACTAATTTTCTTTAACGATAACATATAAAAATGTATTTAACAAAAACACATATACTATAACTATAGATTTGTCCAAAAATCCGGAGGTCCCCTAAAATCGGAGACCCCGTGCGACTGCATCGCACGCACACCCCCAAGGTCACCACTGTAAGAGTCCAAAAAAAGCAACCCATTACCCCTTCCAATCTGATTATTTTATCACTAAAATGTTTAAAATAACAAATCCAAATATACTACAAATTACAGAACAATTAAATGATTGATCTCTAAAATTATCAAAATAAGACAACATGCATTTCGTTCAACAAAATGAGCTTTTAATTTTTTGGTTAAACAAAAAGTTTTAAATCCAAAAGCTAGTTCAACTAGCATGCAAAACCTTTTTTAGATTTTAATAAATTGATTTAAATACTTTTAAAATAAATGCATCATATCCATACTTTTTTTAATTATCTTATACAATTAAATATAAATATATTTAAACACTTACAACGTCTTTATTTGAAAAACCCATATCAATAGATTTTATAATTTATTAATCTTCACTAACAAAATAATAAATATTTATTATATATTAATATTTATTATATGAATTTATAAACCAAAATTAATATCAAACAATAATATTGTTTTTTAGAATGGTGGAAATGTTTGACATGGGTTCTTATGAAATTGAAAAATTTTATTTACTTTAATTGTAAAAAAAATTATCATTTACTAATATAGTAATATGTATAAATTTTTTTTACCAATTGAGAAGCTTAAGCGGTGCACCCGGTATTAAAATTTAGAAGGTTTTTAACTTTTTATAATTATAGTTTAGAAAAATTAATTTATCATTATATTTCAATTTTTATGTACATATGTTTTTTTATGTAATTTTATATATTTTAAAAGTTTCCAACTACTTATGTCAAACACTATTGTATGAATAAAATTTATAGCTTCCAGTTATGCTTCCAGCTTTCAAAAAATAACCATCTTAGATTTTTGAATTTATTTTTTAATATACAAAACAGAATATTGTTCACAATACTTACAAAATGAGATATACTTATTATTTGATGTTTGAATTTATTATGAGCATGGTTAAGTTAAAATGACCACTTTAAACCATAAGGTGTGTTCGGCAATCACCATACAACTTTCAAGAGCTTTTCTTTTTAGCTTTTAAGAAAAAAACTCGAAATAAAGTTTCGTTTGACAGTAGAAGCTTCTAGCTTTTAACTGAAATAAAAAAAAAAATTATTCCAAAAACTATATTATGTAGCGTCTAACAAAAGACTTTTATATTTTTGCAAATTGACTTAACTATCATTTTTAAAATTATTTTTCTATTTTATATTTTACAGAGATGTCCTTTTATGCAATTTAAGTATAATTATTTTTTGTATTTGGTTGATTGGTCAGTAGTCATATCATATGGTCAAAATGATAATGTTTCCATGGCATGGTAGATAAAAAAATATTTATTTTTAAATGACTATAATAACTATTTTTAAATTTTTTTACCATAAAAATGAAAAATGACCCAAATAACCACTATTTTCGTAGTCAACCATCTGCGAAAATCTGGTTGACTGCGAAAATATGATTCTATTTAAAAATTTTAAGATTTCCGCAGATCAACAGCTGTGAAAATCTATGTTGACTGCGAAAAAAATTCCAAATTATTGTAAGTCACCATTGTGATTGGATAACCTCAATGATATGATAATTCTTATAAAGTTCGCATGCGAAAGCGGGTTTTTTTTATGTTTTTTTTTTATGTTTTTGTAAGACACTTTGTGATTGACAAAACCCAAATAATATGATAATTGTTATGAAGTTTGTATGCGGAAACTATGCAGTTTTTTTCATAATTTTCTTCTAATAGCCTACTTGGAGCTAAAAATGTATGACTTGTCGATATCCAAATTTGGAGTGTGATGTCCATGGAAAGTCGTTATAAAAAACACAATTAAAACAAATCAGCTCAAACGGAGTTTGTATGCAAAATTTATGAATAATCAAAATTGACTTTAGAGCTAAAAAAAAATATGATTTTTAGACATCCAAATTTAAACTGGAATATGCTCATGGAAAACCCTTATTACAAATAAGTAAAGAACATAATGAAAAAAAAGCAACTCAAATAGAGTGTGTATGAAAGATTTATAAATGTTCGAAGTTTGAAAAAACAAATCGCAGCCAACTATGAAATCTATATTTTGTAGATGGCACAACTACTAAAATTGTGTCTATTTTGGTTATTTTCTATTTTTTTTTGTCTATTTTGTATAAAAACTTTTTAAAAATCACTATTTTTGTTATTTTCTCCTATTTTTATATATTTAACCTTCACCGGCCTATTATTATTATTTATTAAGGATTTCCACTTCGAAAAAGATTTTTTAAACACCCAATATATGGTTCGTGAACAAATCAAGAAACAAGAGGTTTGGCAATTGTTAGTGTTTTTAGGAATAAATCCAAAGTCGATTGATTATCTCCTCACCTTAACCTAACCAACAAAGTTTATTTTGATCTGATATAAAAAATCTGTTCTCTCTAAGAATAAAGACAAAATTACAAAAATAATCCCTATAGTTTATCAAAAGTCAGTCTCGTTTAATTTTTTTTTATGCAAATGGTCATTTTGGTTTGCAAAACTACCTTTTTTACTAACTCCGTTACTATTCAGCCGTTAGGGACTAAGTTCGTAAGGGCATTTTTGTTTTTTCAAGTATAAAGGGACTGAATTCGTGACATTTGATAAACCAAAATGACTATTTTTATAATTTGTCTTAGAATAATATAAATTTTAGAAAATGAGAGGGGTAAACCAAAGGGACCATTTTATAATTTGTCTTAAAATAATATAAATGTCAAAGCGAGAGGAGTAAGATTCAAATTTGTGACCTCTTCCATATCTCCTTTGATTAGCTAAAGCCTTACCTAAATAGGCTACAACCAAACTTGTTTTATATTTCCAAAAACTAATTAATATTACCTACAATCGTAAATATATTAATAATAAAAAAAATTAAAAACATGTTTAAAAAAAAATTATAAAACAAAATATATTTTAGTGTACTGTAAAAAAAATTATAAACAATTTATTTATTTTTTTTATGTATTTGTTATACGTAAAATATACTTTTTTATGTATTTAAAAAAAATACGTTTCATATAATATGTTATTAAATTGCTATGATCCTAAAACATATTATTACGTTTTCATATAAAAATAAGTTTTTTTTTCTTTCACATAGAAAAAAAAAATTCGTAATTATTTTATGTAAAATATGTTTTTTTGTATATTTAAAAAATATGTTTTCGTATAAAATGTTATTACATTGTTATAATCCGAAAATATACTTTTAAATACATAAAAAACATAATAATGTGTTATACAAAAACGTAATCCTAAAAAAGCATAAAAAAGTTTTTTTGTATATATTTATTTTATGTGAAATATGTTTTTTATGTATTTAAAAAATACATTTTCGTATAGTACGTTATTACGTTGTTATAATCCTAAAACATACTTTTACGTCATCTTAACGTATTTAATTGATTTAAAACAAATATGCAAGTATTTTTTACGTAAAATTGTTAACATTATAACATATTATACGAAAACGCATTTTTACGTTATGTTAACGTCTTTAGTTTATTTTCCATAAAAAAAATATGTCGTTTTGCTTTGATCCTAAAACATATTTTTACGTTATG